ATGTGGCTAGCATGGAATTGGAATTACTCGCCAGAGGTGGAATTGGGTAAAGATTAATGGTTGAATTTTGTGGTGTTTTATTCAAATATGAAATTAGATTCTAGAAATATTGTTTTAAGATGGACTGTTTAGATTTCTATTTGTGAATTTTGTTAAAACCGGCAACAAATTTATGCATGAACTAGTTGTACTACTGTAGAACCATTTCAGTTGCAAAACTGGAGTATTTACATAAATCGGTTTGACAACCTTGAGTTTTAGTACCAAACAAAGAATTTGGAGGAATCCAAGATACATTCACGAATTAATAGATGCGGCCGAAAGTCAACGAACGGTTGTTTCACTAGAGAGGCATACATGTGAACTAATTATTATCAATGCAACAATTATTATTAAATAGTACATATATTACTTTTACTTTTTAATAAACTATTGAGAATATCTCATATCATTTGAAAATATAAATGAATTGATTATTGTGAAGTAATAACAAATAAAATAAATCCATCCGACCAATGGATCAGGTGAAAGCCAATATGAATTAATATAATTAAACTCGTCATCATAATAATAATCAATTAATCATATACTAAAAATACAACCTACAGTATACGATCGAATTAACTAAAAAATCTAGATGGAAGCCTTGTGCCGAAGGGTCCCCTGACACACCCTCCGACCCTGTATATGAAGCATCAAGGGCGGAGCTACTGCTGCTTTTGGGGTGGCCCTGACCACCCGAGAATTTTTGAAGTTACGTGTAAACTCGATGTTGTTTTGAAAAATTTCGTATAAACAAAAAGAATCATTAAAAATGTATTAGTGTTGTGAAAGGGGACACAGAAAATTCACTTAGTCCAGCGGAGGGGATGATTGCAAGTTTTACATCTGGTCAATTCTTGATGAGCCATTAAGTTCTTCTCCAAATCTACATCTATCTACATTCTACATCTATATCTACATCTATCTACATCTACATCTATCTATCTACATCTACAGAATATATTATACACTTCACTCTATGTCATTATTGCCACCTTGCACTTTGATTAGTTCTCCTTATTTGGTGGAAGGGCAATTTTGCCATTTTTTTAACTCTTCAATCACCACAAGGTCACTCATAATTGTTGGACTTTTGCTTATCTTTTTTGTAAATGTGATTAGGATTAAGAGAAAATCATATATGTTTTAAGCCAATTGCTATTATAATAGGGCCACTCATAATTATTGGACTTTTGGTTTCCTTTTTTGTAATTGCGATTAGAATTAAGGGAAAAGCATATTTGTTTTAAGGTAAATGCTATTATAATAATTATTTGGACTTTGCTCTATGTAGATTTATTTTGTGTGGTTCAGGATAAAACTCAGGTTAACTAAAGTTGTTTACCTCTTGAATGGGATAATGTTTGCGAATTGAATTTCGAGGCGACAAAGATTTTACATTGTTGTGGAGTGGATGTTTGGGAAGAGGTTACCTCTAGATAGGTTTTTTCGCATTAGGTTTTTAAGTTAAACCAAGTATTAACTCTCAAAAGCTTTGGAATCTTAATTTGACAGTGACTTCGACAAACAGGAAGAGGAAGAAAAATGGGAAATCTTGGAAAATACAATCAATTTCTATTGTTTTTAATTATTTTAATTTTCAAATAAGCATGTCTAATTCCTTACAATAAAATTTGAAAATGTACGATTGAATGCTTAGTCGTAGGTTAAATAATAATTTCATTCATATCATATCGAATAGATATTTGGATCAAATTAGATCAAACAAAAAATGATAGATCGCAACCATATCAAATGTTCTTTTGACTTTCATCTTTAATTTTCACTTATTTTTAGTTTGGTTCTATCATGATTCATTGGGATCATGGACTATAACAAACCGGCCAATACAAGATAATTTTTTATTAAAAATTAATTAAACATAAAAACTGGTCCAGCGGAACAACTTAAATGCTTTTTCAACCTAATTATGCTATTATTTATGTCTATACTATTTACATGAAGGCATTAATATAGATTCTAGATAGCTTTTCATTTCATTTGTTGTTTAACCGAAACTTCTTATGGTTACTAGCTTGTTGTCCGACCCGTTGGTCGGAATGTCATTGAATACAATGTATGTATGATGTGTATTTGAAAAAAATTAAATTACTTGAAATGTTGCATTTCGTATGACATTAAGGTGAGGAACTTGTCAATTTAATGATGTAGTCACTCTGAAAAGAAAATTGACATAACAAAAAAAGAGTTTGTCTGAAAAGCATAGCATAAATAGGAAACTCGTGATCATAACCTTTATTCAATATTTATTTCTTATGCTTGAGAAACAATACATATATAACAGTATCTAAACCTTAAAGTATTCTGCACAATACTATAACAAAATTAGTAAGAAAATAATATTTTTCATCCATACTCTATGCAATGAAAAATATATTTATCAACCAACATACTCTAAATTTAGTTGAAGTACAATCTCATTCACTCAACAAAAAAATTAAACATATCTTGTGGTACCTACCTTGCTAAGTTCCAGCAACACTAAAAGACGACCCATTAGTCTCTCTCTCCTCTTTCTTTTTTCTTCGCCTTCTCTCTAGGCGATTAATCGTATTGACGGGGAGGGGCTGTCGTCGGCGTCCTTCCGGCGACCGGTGGCAGCCCTCTGCCCCTCTGTGTTTTCCTTTTCTCCTTGCACTTTCTGTTTTACTTGTTCTCCTTCCTTCTTTTTTTTTCTTCCTTGTTTGGTTGTGTTTTTCTGCCCGTTCCTGAGTGATTTCCATCCCATTTTAGGGTTCCTTTCTCCCCCATCTGTGGGATGTACTTTTGGCGTCTGATCTGTTTGTTTACAGGCCTCTGATGTAGATCTGGCTTGTTTTCTCCTCATCTATCCCTAGTCTACCTCCTTGTCTCCTTGTCTCACTTTGCAGGTCATGGTGTTTCAGAGATGCAGCCGTATGGCGTCGGACACGGCTAGATGAGCTTGAAGACAGAAGTGCTCTTTCCTCTATTTCCTCCACCGGCCGACCGATCGTCTCTGATGTCTTCTCTTTGATGGTGCGACGGGAAGCGGAGAGCGATTGGCTCGAGGTGTGATTTTCCCTCCATCTGGGTTGGTGGAAGATGCTTTCTCTACTTGGTGCATGGCGAAGTAGCTGGTGGGAAGTTGCGCTACTAGCGAATCAAGGAGACGATGCTGGTCTTCGGCTACGGCGGTTGAGGATTGTAGAGGAGTAGGTTTTGATTAGGGTTTGAAAGCTGATTCCTGTTCTGTTTGGGCTTTGGGTTTGGGCCCTATTAGGTTCTGGACCCGGATCGTTTGGGGCTTTTGTTTTGGTTTTCAAATTTGATTGTAATCTGCTTGTACTTTTCCGTTTGGGCTTCGGCCCGTTCGCACATGACCACATCAATGCTTCCATGAAAACTCCAACTCGACTTTCATGATTTGTCTTGTATTGCGGTTATTTCATATTAAACTAAGTAACTATAAATGATACATATGGTCAATTATCCTATAAGATAAAATATTTAAATAATTGAAATCATCTAGAAAAATTGGTATTCAGGAATTGTGTTCTTTTGAACTCGCACATTTGTCTAATCATGCCATATTATCAAGAGAGCAAGGATTTAACAGTAAACCAAACTAAAATTTTCAAAAAACTAGTCACTTACAGTTTGCATAACAATATCGTTGCTTTAATAGTTCTAAAAATTAATACGAAGTTAACAATTCTACATCATATCTACACATTCAATACTACAATTCAATATGTAATATTGAATCAATGATATTGATTTTCAATTTTAAAATTATCCTCCATTTATAAGATAGACATAAATTAAATTTATTATTAAACTCAAACTAAAATAATCAAAATATGAAAATTAAAATATCAAATAACAAAGAAAGTACTACGAGAAAGGTCGTGGGCTAGCTAACGGTAGTGGAAAAGTCGTATGATTTTTATATTTCAGGTTTTCGGATTTTTTACTTAAAAAGATGCAAAAGATTTCCTTAGCATAATTGGTAATGATTGTTGTTTTAGTTTTGGAAAGATCATGGTTCGAATCTCCAGAATGATGTTTTTTTTCTTATGGAAAAAAATTATTGTGAAGACACAATTACTCTTCCTACTTTCGCTCTCGTTGCAGAAAATTTGAAATGCATAGAAACTGCTCCCAACTCGGCTATTATATATTTGTAGAAGTATAAATTGAAACACCGATTCAATAAACAATATAAAGTTAATGAGCACTCAAAAGCATAAACAATCAAGATACTTTTTCGGACCACCATTGCAAAATATAAAAAATTGAACCTCCTACAATATATTTAACTAAAAAAATACCTAAATGACCACAAACCGGCCAACGGACTGGATACAGAACTAGTATTTATATATATGTAAACACTCAATTTTAAATTCTAAAAATATGATGGATTATACAATATTGCAATGCATTATTAATCTGTTTATTCCAGAGTAGATATTTTAAGTTAATATAAAACTTTAAGTGATAATATGACGTCTAAACAGCAATGAAATTTATTATTGTATTTTTTTATTGCCATCGTTATTGTATTGTTATTAATATTAATTTCATCAAAAAAATTCATTATTTATTTATTCGTTTTGAATTTATATTGAACATACCATACTATAAATTTTTAGTTTAGATATTATTTTGAGTGTATTTAATATATTAAAACGTGCAGTTACCATAATATTAGAAATTAATTCTCTTTTATTATTTTGATTAATTTTATTGCCTTTATGCGCTAACATAATAAGAATCTTCGGGCCCCCGAGCGCCAATTCCTAATTCCTCCCCTGTGAAGCATAGCTATATCGAGAAAGAAAACTACTATAGTTCATCTTGATAGTCACATTTTCAAGAAGTGTATGTCAAATTTTATTGATCAATGAAAAGATTACGAAATACAAACAATGACAGATGTTCAGTCATATCTTAAAAGACGAAAAGTTTAGCCAATCAGAAATTATCATTTATAAAGGAATATATGTTCAACCATAAGCTACACAAAACTAGCATAAATAAGAATGGTCGTATATGCCTCTAGATCTTTCTATATTGGCTTATAACAACACGAGTTTTCAGAACAAATGTGTTTACGAGACAAATTCATGAACAACAAAGAAGAACGGTAAATTTTAACAAGTAGCATATACCCATTGTTGAGCGCGTCTGAATCCAACAGCTATAGTTTCCATCGTACAAATCCCGCAACTTTTGATACTTTGGAATTTGAGTAGGCCAACAATAGACCTTGGGCTGGAACACCCTCCAATGATCAAAATATTGAGTTCGTTTAGAGATGAACTTTAGCTCTCCCCCATTCCCCAAATCGCAAAATACGTAACAACTCCCAAGGCTACCAGCACCACCATCAATATTAGTGAAGAAGGCAATTTCAGGCTTCTCTGGATGCAGAGAAGGAACACGAAGGAGCCAGAATTGTGACTTAAGGGTACTTTCAGATACCTTTCTCCAAAGTTTACAGTCTTCTCGTAGTCTCCAAACACCCAACACCATAGGTATTAGCTTCTCGTACACACTCAAATGCAAAGCACCCTGTGAAACTGAAATACTCCAAAGCGTTTTGGAGCTGATAGGGGAAACATCAACAAGAGTGGGAGGTGTATCAAGTCGAAAAGGATCGAAACCAGCAATCGAAGGTCTATACAACCCAGCATCCAAGTCTTGCGCTCTAGCGTAAGACAAATACAAAACACCGTTGCAAGAAACAACATTGTTCTTCCAGCTCCCGCATCCGCGATAACCATCAAGAACAAGGGCCTCCTTCGTCCATTCGCCGGAATCCGAGCAGAACACATCTAATTTCATCGAATTGGCAACTTGGTAGACGCACACAACCCGGAATCGATACTCATGGCCAAATCCAACATCATGACTATTAGAAACTAAGGGTTCACAAACTAGCCTCGACGACAATTCACTAAACCCGACTGGCCTTTCAGGGGCCAGAGGAAGGGCGATCCATTGCTCCGTAAACGGATTGCAGAGCAAGTATGATCTGGCGAGCTGGGGATTAGTGCGACGGTAAAGTACTTCCCAGAACCCACATAGAAGCAAGTCCTTGAAGCAATCCAAAACTGCGAAATGCTCTGGAGGGAGGGCGGGCATGGGGAGAAAGGTCAGGAGGCTGGCGGGTGAGAGAAGAAGCATCGGAGGAGGTGGTTTGCTCTTGCTCTGGTGGTGGCAGAGGAAGCGGCGTCTGAAGCAGGGATCAGAAATCAGGGATCTCCAGTACTTGCAGACGGCTTTGCTCCGGCACGCGGATCTGGGATCCGGGAAGCTGCGAATCAGAACTTCTATGAGGAGATCGTCTCCGAGTTCGCTAATCATCATCGGAGAAGGAGGATTGAGTTCTGAAACCGCGGTGCAGGTTTCGGTGGCCATGGAGTCGGCGGGTGGAAGGAGCTAGGGTTAGGTAGAAGACATCGACCGAAAACCCCTAATTCTCCACGCACAAAAAATTGATCTTTTCCAAATTTTGACCGGATAATTTATCCGCCAGCAGAGCCGAAGCCCAATTAAGTTTGGGGCTAGGTCACGGACACAAGGCCGTCTCTCTCCGTGATACAATTTCACTAACGCCGGCGGACGGACGGTTGGGGTGGGCGGGGCATAGACATTCGGAGTGGTTCGTTCTTGTGACTGGTTATTCTCCTCTGACTTGATTCGAGTCTTATATCCATGTTTTAAAGTTGTTCTTTGCCAAATCTATCCATTTCCTAATATATTTTTGGTTAAATACACTTGTATATCCAAAAACACCTTTAAAGAATGTGAAGGAATTGGATATAAGTGGTATTTCGGGAAATTGCCAAATCTATCCATTTCCCAATATATTTTTGGTTAAATACACTTGTATATCCAAAAACACCGTTAAAGAATGTGAAGGAATTGGATATAAGTGGGTTTTCGGGAAATTTGGATATTATTGCCACAACCGTGAAAGTTTTGGATATACAAGTGTATTTAACCTTCTTTTTATTTTTCTGTCCATATCTCTCCCACGTCTCCTACATCTCTTGTACACTCTCCCTAAACCTTGTACACTACCCTACTATGTCTCAACTAGAGGTGGCAATTCTCAATCCAATCCACCAATCCAATCCACCATTCCATTAAAAATATCCACCTAATCCAATCCATTTAAATCCAATCCATTTGATCCAAATCCAATTGAATTGGTGGATTCATGGAACAATCCATGGATCCAAATGGCAAATTACGGTTTGGTACCTATAATTTTCATATTTTACATTTTGGAACTTGAAATTTAATTTTTTATACAAAAAATATCATTGGAAAATTACGTTTTAGTACCTAAAAATTTTCATTATGGCATTTTAGTACCTAAACTTTTCACATTTTACATATTTGTCCTTGGTTGAGGATGTCATTTGGATTCATGGATAATCCACCAATCCACTTGATCCAATCTATGAATCCACCAATCCATTGGATCCAATCCATTAGATCCATGGATCCACCAATCCATGGATCCAATCCATTTGCCACTTCTAGTCTCAACTGACTCCCCTGTATTTGTGTATAAAACTAAATTGAATGAATAGAAGCAAATCAATGAAATTATATTCGATTGCTTTTTGATTCTCTTCACAACCAATTCCTTTTCTTAACATGGTATTAGAGCTAGAAACGATTAACTAGTATCGATCCAATCTCCTCCTTCTCCTCGTTTTCTTTTCTTACTCCGAATTTTTTTTTTCCGCCACCATGTCAGGCGGTTCTGAAATTCACGATACTGCTTCCTCCACCATGGTCCCTGCCATCGTGACCTTTAATCATGTTGCTCAGCTTCCATTGAAGCTCACCCCGTCCAATTTTGCCTCCTGTTGTTCTTAGTTAGAAGCACTGCTCATCGGCCTTGATTTGTTCGGCTTCATCGATGGCACGCCTGCGGCCCCTGCCCGCACAATCATAGAGAATGGCCTGAAAAAAGTCAAAAACCCAATCCGGCATAACAGTTGTGGTTTCGCCAGGATAAACTGATCCTCTATGTCCTGCGTTGCTTAATTTCCAAGTCGATCTATTCGTTTGTCTCCGCTGCCTCTACCTCACGCGCTGCGTGGCTAATTCTTGAGAAGCTCTACGCAAACAACGCCCAATCCCGTGTCATTTATCTCATCCCAGCGGGCCCATGATGGTTTCCAACGGGCTCTAGGCCCGCAGGCCCACGACTTCAATTCTGGCCATTTTTCGGCCCCCTCCAAAAATCAGCGTGAGCTTGCTGTTGTTTGTCAATTTTGTGAATGTCCTGGGCATTCCGTTCGACAATGTTTTAAACTCTTTCCACAGGCTCGTCAGGCCTATCAAGCCCGTTGATAGGGCAAAAGCGTATATGCCAATTTCCTATCTCGTAGTAAACCGGAAGTCCGGGTATCGTCTCTCAGGGACTAGTACAACCTTATATTCTATCAATTTATAGAGCAAACTATAGGTGAAAATGGTTTAACGAGACTAATTATCTAAAAGCAAAATTAACTAATTAAGCAAAGTAAATTGGTCGGGAGAAATTCAATGGAGAAAGCTATGGGAGAAACACCGGGACTCACTACCTATCATATCAAAATTAATTCACATATTCCAATCAATTTAATCCATATCTCTACAGCCAGGATATCACTACTGTGCTAGCTATCCCTGTCGGGAATTACTACGTACTAAACAATCAATTCAAATCCTACTGTCGTAGCTCAATGAATTAATTATTTAGCCTTAAGACCGACATCCCATTCAAGACCACATAGCATTTTATTTAATCCACTGTCGCTTCGATAAGTTACTATGTCACATGAAATATGTTCAGTTAATAGGGTTTCACTGTCGCTAATAACCTAATTAACTACAAATCAATGTATTGATGGCCAGTCAACACAAAGCTTTAAGCAATTTCATGCAATAGAGATTGGAAGAAAAGAAATACGAATCAATCCATCAAATCAAGAAATAGCTACATCCTATGGTGTTCTCCCAGAAATTGGGGTTTAGTTCATGACGAAATTGAGATAAAACAATAGGGTTTTGTTCATCATATTCTAAATCAACAATAAACAACTAGTTCGGTTTAGAAAATCCAACCAACTAATCGCTCTCGTTGAACTCAGTTCAAGCCGCCTTGGAAATCTCGATCGCCAATTGCCGAACGTCAATTTTCTTACCTCTGCCAATCGCTTCAGCTGCTCCTCCCTTTTCCCAAAACTAATTCGCCTCTTTTCTCTTTTCCACAGAGAATTTCGTGGCCCAAGCTTGCGTCTCCTCCTCAAAAAAATTCCTCCCTCCAATTCCCTCTGTCCAATCAATTCCGCTGCCCGCTCCAAATATGTCCCCCAAAATTATGTTCCGTCCCTCCGAGCTGCTTCCATGTCACAGTAGGGCAGTAGGCCACTAGGCCTTCTTTAATTGGCCGGGCCCAAAAAAAATCCACCAAAGCCCCCGGTCCAGTATAAGGAAACCATGCCCTCCAGCTGTCCCTTCATCCAACTAGGCTAGGTCAAGAACTCGATCCAAAATGGTTCGGTTATAGACTTGATCTGTGTTCGATTTGTCTGTCTGCTTGTGCTTTCATAATTTCTATCTTTCCACCTAAAATGTATCAAAATTCTAACACATGATAGTAATGGTCTTACAACCATTCCACAGTCAGTTGGCCTTAAAACAAGCATTATATGTCTCAAACATATTATGAAATAATCACATTAAGCACATGAAATCAATATGTTTTCGACAATTATCACCCGTCAAGCTCAGGCCCATCATTCCACAGTTACTCGTTCTTCGCCATCGGCTCCCTAGTTGCTTGATTCTGCTGCGTCACATCATGTTCCTCCTGATCTAGGAAATTTATCACTTTATTCAGACTACAATGGTCCTGTTGAAATTCTTGTTGGCGACGGCACAGGTTTGAAAATCACACACATTGGGTCTTCTATGCTCCAAAATTCTAGTTTACAATTACAAGATGTACTTTGTGCTCCTGCCATCAAGCGTAAACTAATCTCGGTGGCCAAACTTTGTCGTACTAATCCCATTTTTGGTGGAATTTTTTGCTGATTGTTTTGTTGTGAAGGATCTTCGCACGGGGGCGCCACTGCTGAAAGGAGCAAATAATGGGGATGTTTATGAGCTGCCAGTTGATGTGAACACGGTCCGCCTCTCTCTTGTCACCACGCGCACGTCCTCGACATCGTGGCATGCTCGTCTCGGTCATCCCTCCTCTCAATCCCTCACCAGTCTCCTTCGCACACATTCTTTGCCAGCATCTTCCTCTTGTGTTAGTAGTCATTGTCATTCATGTCTTTCGAATAAGAGTCACAAACTCCCTTTTCCTGTCTCTTCTCTATCTAGCACTAGACCATTTGATTTATTGTATACGAATGTTTGGGGACCCGCTCCGGTCACCTCCGTTGATGGTTTTTATTATCACTTAATCATCGTTGATCATTTTTCCCGTTATACTTGGTACTATCCCTTAAAACGTAAATTTGATGTTCTTGATGTGTTTCTCGTTTTTCACACGATGGTTGAAAATTAGTTTCCACTACCATTCTTCGTAGTTATTCTGATGGTGGTGGGGAATTTCAGAAATTATGCTCCACCCTGGTTACTCATGGCATCAGTAATCTCCTTACCCCCTCCTCATACGCCTGAGCATAATGGTCTTGCTAAACGTAAACATCACCATCTTGTTAAAACGGGTATCACTCTCCTGCATCATGCTAATTTACCTACTATCTTTTGGTCTTATGCTTTCTCTACTGCCATCTACTTGATTAATCGTATGCCTTCCTCTGCATTACGTGGTCAAGTACCATATACCGTGCTCTTTAACATTGTCCCCAATTATCATAAGCTTCGTGTTTTTGGCTGCTTGTGCTATACGTGGCTATGTCCCTATTCATCTTATAAACTTGATCCACGCTCTCGTCCCTGTCTGTTCCTTGGCTACTGTCCTCAACGAAGTGCATATAAATGTTTTGACCCTCACACCCAATGCATTTTCCTATCCCGTCATGTCCACTTTGTTGATAATTCGTTTCCTGGGTATTTGTCTAACCCCTCTGCAGATTCTTCTGTGGTGGCCTAGTGGCTCACTGACACCGGACTGCACATCACCTCTATTCCATTCCCTGCTGGCTTGCTCACATCGCCTTCCCCAACTGCTCCTTCCACTGCGGTTTTGGCCTCCCCTAGTGAAGAGTCTTCTCGCTCAACAACAGCTCCTAAGCCCCTGCCTCACTTGTCTTCTCCGATTGGGCTGAGCCCACCTCCGTCTCTGGCCCATTGCCAACAACCAGGACCCTGCCTCCCTTGTCCCACCTTCCGCGACCGGGCCCACGCCCAGCTCTGTCCCTGACCCCTTGCAAGTTCACGGGCCCCCGCCTCCACAGCAGGCCTCCCTAGGCCCGTCACGTTTTACTGGGCCTTCCCAGTCTGCCGGGCCCCTGCTTTTCTCGCCTCAGCCCACTGTCCGCCCCACAGCAGCTCCGCCACCCCTCATACGCACACATAAAATGACCACAAGGACCCAAGATGGGATTTACAAGCCCAAACGCCTCTTTTCAGCAAATTTCAC